TTGCGGCGTGGCCGCCCCCCCTGGTTGATTTCTCGCTTTCTGTCTCTCTGTCTCTCTCTGTCTTTCTGGCTAGCCCACACGCCCTATAGCAAAAACCTCTCCCAAAAAAAGAAAAGGGGGGGGAAGAATTCTCATAACCCCACCGTTTAAAGCAATCTGTTTCTTTGTGTTTATGCACATCTAGTTTTCATCAATATGCAAATATACATATAGATACATTCATAATGTGCACGGCATTTTAGTCTTTTTTATTTTTTTTTTTTAAGGTTTTTGCCATAGGGCGCTTGCTCTTGCCAGAGAGAAAGACAAGGGGACACGGTGAAAAGGAAAGTGAGAAATCACCCCCGGGGAATGGCCAGGCCACAATCCCTTTTTCTCCATTCTCCTCCTGGGATTTTGGGCACACACTCACGGACACCCGGATGCGTATCAAGCTGCTGAGTCCATGACTCAGACTGTGGCCGTCGGCCTTGTGGGAGTCCAGTGCCTTCACCACTTCCTCTCCCTGCTGGCCCCGTCTCCGTTTCCTATGCCGCAGCACACATATTTTTACCTATTTCTACTTGAACTTCACCCGGCCAGTGACTACACACTCTTATACTTACTAACCCGCACTCCATTTGCTACACAGTATGTGTACTGTGGACTTCTTCACTATTAGTCAATAGCTTTGGCACACACATTTAGGGTTATTAAGAATTAGAGAGGGGATTACAGGTTCAAAGTATAGATGCATTTGCTATTTAACTTGCCAAAGATTTTTGTAGCTTTACCTGGCCATCAGCATTATCTGAGGATCTGGGTTCTGACTAATAGCACTAAGGTTTTTGTTTTAAGTCTTAAGATATCTCCTATGGCAAACTTACTCCATTTGACAAATATTTGTCCAACCTGCAGTTCCTGGTTCAATATAGAGTACTGGGAATGTCTTCATGAGGAAAAGACAGTCAGGCGGGGAGCCAGATTTTTAACCATACAAATACACAAACACACATAAGATCCCAACTGTGGCAGGTACCACGAAGACAGAGAATGGTACCACACACCCCTCTAAGAGATGTTTGACCTGTCAGGAGTCTGACCCTAAGTTATAGTATATGGTGACTCGTATATGCTTTTCTCTTTGTTTACAGCACTGCCCAAGTCGGGGTTAAGTCGGGTGAGGTTGGAAAGAAAATCAATGCCCCGAGGTGGGGTGCAGGGAGGGCAGTGTTTGTAAAGGAAAGAACTTGAAAGTTCACTTCTCCCAAACCACACCCTGCTTTTAGGGTGGCCCCGGAATCAAACCCAGGATTCCCTTGTGGCTTCAGCCTGCTGAGTAGCAATGTCAACCAGCACGTGCTACCAACTGTGTGACATTTTGCGTGTATCTGTGTGTTCACACACGTGTGTATGCTTGTCTTCACAGTGGCTCTCATAAAATAAGACCTCAACTCATAGAAGACATCTTAACAGGGTAGGACTGCTCGGGCTGCTTTACTATTGTTAACATTTTAATTTGATTTTTAATGCAGTGCAAATATATGTATATATACATATAACAGAAAAGTTACCAGTTTAACCATTTTTTTAAGTGAACAGTTCGGTAGCATTAAACATGTCTGCTTTGTTGTGCAACCAATACCACCATCCATCTCCAGAACTTTTTCATCTTCCCAAACTGAAGTTAAAGAATAATTTCAGTATGCATTAAAGAATAACTCCCATTTCTCCATCCCCGGCTCCTGCTAATCACCATCCTACTTTCTCTTTCTATGAATTTGACAGCTCTAGCTACTGCTAGGCTTACTGCACTTTACTAAGTGTCCTCAAGGTCCATCATGTTATGGTGTGTGTCAAGATTTCATTTCTCTTTGAAGCCCAAACAATAGTCCATCGTGTGTGTGTGTGTGTGTGTGTGTGTGTATGCCATGCTTTGTTTATTTATTCATCCATCCATAGACAGTTGGGTTGTTCCTACCTCTAGGGTATTGTGAATAATGTTGTAATAAATGTGGGTGTTCTGTTTCAGCGCCTGCTTTCAATTCTTTAGCAATCAGGTGGTAATTCTGTTTGTTTTGCTATTTATAATGTGCTTTCATGCAGACTGGGATCACATTTGGTCTTTTTGATGCCCTGTGAGATAGGTCAGCACTGATCTCTTTTCTAGTTCAGAAAAGGGGTTTGTCCAAGTGAAATGGGCAATCATGTGTGCTACCTCTGAGCACAATATCCTTCTGGTTTAACAAGCTTGATCTACTACCAGGTTTCTGCCCTCACCTGCCCTGACCATTTTGTCCAACCTGACCAGGTTTCAGTCTGTTGCAGGGGACAAGTCACCCATTTGCCACTGCAAGGAACAGAGGCTGTGCCCATGACCTCAGTGACAAAAGTTTGTCTTTTTGGTTTGTGTTTCCCTTTCAGTCAGAGCCTGACATCTGAACCATGAGGACCTGGTGGCTCCTGCTTGCCATCAGCATCTGCATGAGGGATGTAAACTCACAGGACACATGCAGGCAAGGGCACCCTGGCATCCCGGTCACAACGGTCTGCCTGGAAGAGATGGACGAGATGGAGCAAAGGGTGACAAGGGGGATGCAGGTACTCACCACCTGACTATTGGCAGCTGCCCTTCCATTATCCCTTTCAGTCCACTTATCTCATCTACTTATTCATCCTTTGTGCCATTTTCTAACTGCCCGTTCACACCTAATTTATCCATTTATCCATCTGCCCAGAAAACACAAGAGAGCTTTCTGCATGCCAGATGCAAGGTGCAGGAAAAGACAACAAAACCCCTGCCCCATGGGCTTTCTCACCTGGTGGGGATACCTGTTTGTTAGCCATCATCGCTGATCCCACAGGGCATTTTGGGTACTATGTGAGGTCTTAGGTTTTCCTGCCACAGGGATGACTGATCTTTGGCAACATGGGGCAAATAGGGAGATGCTAACTGCAGAGCACCCAGCTGCAATGCAGGTGAGAGTTGCCTCATTATGCTGTAAGGCAAGTGACATAGGGTGACAGGAAATACAGAGGTAGATGATGGTCTGAAGCCCTAACAGCTGCTACTCGAGTATCTTTGACCTACTTTAAGACCCACCCCAGGGTTTGTGGATATGGATTCAATCTCTGGAGGGAGATTTGCTAAAACAAATGTGTTTGGCTTCTATAACACCAACCAATACACTTGGTTTCCAAATGGGGTGTTCTTCCTGAGCACTGGACTTTACTGTGGGGTCACATACCCAAGAAAATATGCATAATGATCCATCCAGTTGCAGGAAGAAAACAGTGAGATTTGGGAAATCTCAGTTTAAGAGATAAATTGCTGCTTCTCATGTTTCAGCTCATGACATATGGTGGCCTAATAGCTTATTGAGTGGTCTGGATGAAGCCAATGGTTGCCAGAAAGCCATTTTATTTCCTTCCAACTACTTCCTAGAAACTTTTCTCTGTGAGGTCTCTTTTATCAAATAATCCCTTCTAATCCCACTTGCCAGTCACATTCAGTCATTAGACCTGTCCCATTTTCAAGAAGCAAAAGCCCAGTCTAAGTCAGTAGCAAAACTTAGTCTTAATGAAATCAAGGCTTCTACCTTCCCATTGAGACCACTGAGTGGTGTGTATGCATGTACATGTGAGTGTGGATTTTATTCTTTATATAGTTTTTAATTAAAAAAAAATTATACTGTAAAATGTCTTATATATACAAAATGAGAGATTAATATATAGAGCAATATAGAAGGAAAAGATTAACACTCATATCCAATATCCAATTTGTCTTCCTCTCTCCTACAGTCTCTCTCCTTCTTTGTCAATGCTATCCATTCCTTCACATTTTACATATTGCTTAGAAGTATAAAATGTTTTTATGTATATTTCCTATGTAGTTCATATTATATATAACCTATATATATTATTTTTTAGAAGGTTTTTTTTTTTTTTTTTTGCCTTAGGGTACATGCTATTTCTGGGGAGAGAGAAAGAGACAGAGACAGTGAGAGGGAGAGTGAGAAGTCAACCCCTACCGAGGGGATAGCCATGCCACAATCTCTTCTCCTCCATTCTCCTCCCAGGATCTTAAGCATGCAAGCACACATGCCCAGCGTGATTTTTTTTTTTCTTTTTGAGAGGTTTTCGCTATAGGGCGCGTGCGCTCGCCAGACAGACAGAGAGAGACAGAGAGACAGAAAGTGAGAAATCACCCCCCAGGGGGGATGGTCATACCACAATCCCTTCTCCTCCATTCTCCTCCCGGGATCTTGGGCACGCACGCACACGCGCCCGGCGTGAGTTTTAAGCCACCAGGTCCGGGACGCAAACCACGGTCGACTACGTGGGAGTCCAGTGACATAGCCATTACGCTAACTGCTGGTTCTCCCCAGCGTGATTTTTAAGCTACTGTGTCTCAAACTGTGGTCAGTCATGTGGGAATCTGGCAATGTGACTACTACACCATCTGCTGGTCCCTGTAACTTGTATTTCATAGAAAGATATTTAATCACATTGTTCACTGTAAAATTCAATTAGTCTGTAGCTTCTTAAAATCTATTGTGTGTATGTTTATAATAGACACAGTTCAGCACATTGCCTGTACATAATTTAGGAATACATAACTGGACACTGATTGGGGTCCATGTTCATATTGTTCTCTGAGGGTTCATGAGCATGAATGTTTGCAGGGTGCTGCTCTAGAGAATGAAGGAACTGAGAATTAAGCAGGAAAACAAAAGGAAGTAACTTGGGAAGGAAGACTTATGTTTCTGGTCCAGGAGCCAGTGAAGGGAGTGGGATGGGAGGATGAGGAAGAGATAAGGTCCTCTGCAGAATCCCCATAGTACCCAAGGCTGTTTGGGGGTACAGGTTTCCCAACCAGACTGATAGAAATCTGCCTGTGCCGGTCCTGTATGGGGACCTGGAAACTGGCCCAGCCTACCCCTGTCACTCCATAGGCAGATCAGTGGGGCTGAAATATGGGGTCTCTGCTGCTTTGGGAGAAGCCAGAGTCTGTAGTGACCCATGGTCTAGTGGGCTCTTCTATGCCACGGCTGCAGCCACCCTCAAGCCACTGACTTATGGCACATTAAGTTGGAGCTCACAGTGGCCTGTTCTGAGCATCAGGATGAGCACGTGGTCAGCAAGTGTTCACACACCAGATGTTACCACCAGGGTCTCCCAAGCCAACCTAATCAGTGACACTTGTCACCATTCCAAGGTTCCAGAGAAATCCTTCTGGAACTCTTCCTTTCATCCCAAATAATGTCACACAACCAGAGTCGTCTATGTTTTTTATAGGAGGCTAGTAAACCATCCACTCCACTCTCCACAAGAGTGATGGAAAAGGGACAGAATGTGAAAAGTCCCAGCGTTCTCACATTCAGATCCCTTCCCAAGTCCTCATCACTGGAGAAAAACACGGTGTCATTTCTCTAGTGCATGCCCTCCTGCTCATCCTGGCTTGCTACGCCCTCGTGGTACATACTAGAGCTGGTTGTGTGGGAATTAGCCCCGTTCATTTCTCAGCTCACACGGCTCAACACCGTGGATGCTCACTCTCGCCTGCCTCTCTCAACCTGCACTTGCGTGACAGAGGAAGTGCCTTTAGGGCTGGGGTCACCCAACATACATCACTGATGGAGACCAGTGACTAGACAAATCGGAACTGAATTTCAACTTGTCTCTGTTTCTTCTTTTCTACTTAGGAGAATCAGGACATCCCGGCAGCCCAGGAAAGGATGGGATGAGAGGAGAGAAAGGAGAACGAGGTTGGGTTCCTACTTACCACACTCTGCTTCTGAACTCTTAAGGATTTGACAGCCATGATTAAGTGCTTACTATGGACAAGTCCTATACCAGGCTCTGAGGATGATAATTCTTGCTCTCCAGAAGCTCAGGATTAATGCAAGATGAGCGCACTTCTTCTTGGGCTTTTAAAGGCTGGAGAGTAAATATTTTCAACTACATGGGCCGTTTGTCTTTGTCTCCCCTGGTCATCTCCACCATTGTGGCAAAGAGCAGTCATAGATGTCACATAAATAAGTGTTGTCACTGGGGTCAGCAAATGGCATGGAGGCCAGGGAGGCTGGAACCCACATGACTGACTGAGTGATTGGAGTCCCAGACCCAGCAGCTTGAAAAATACACAAGATGCACATACATGTATGCCCCAAATCCCAGGAGGAGAATGGAGGAGAAGGGATTGCAGTGTAGCTATTCCCGCTGAGGGGTGATTTCTCATTTCTCTCTTTCCCATCTCTCCAATGAGCACATATACCCTCTAACTACTAGCAAAACAAACAAACAAAAAAGCATTGCTGCGTTCTAGTTGTCCTAGTGATGCTGTTTGTGTGAAGTGTGAAATTTGAATTTTTTTATTAATCTTTTTTTAGAGACAGAGAAAATAAGAAATTACTCCCCAGGGGTGATGGCCATACTGCAGTCCTCTCTCTTCCTTTCTCCTTTTGGGATTTTGGGCACACATGCACATACACCCAGTGTGTTTTTCAAGCTGCCAGGTCTGAGAATCAAACCACAGAGTCAGCCATGTGAAATCCAGTGCTTTAACCACCATGCTATCTACTAGTCCCTGAAATTTGAATTTCATCTTTTTTTTTAATGTGTGTCATGGAAGATTATCTATGGCCTTCTAAATATGCAAACCATTCTTAGCTTGTGGCAATATAAAAACAGGCAAAGGTTGGATTCGACCTGCAAATCATAGTTTGCTAAATCCTAATTTAGTGGATAAATGCTGAAGAATGAGGCTGAATTTTATCCTTGTATCTGGCAACGCTGAAAGGAGAAGGTGGCAATGGATTCGGGCCCTGTAGGGTAGAGAAGACCCTAGCATTGATGGGAGAGCCGGTCATAACATCTAATACACATAATGTCCTCTTTGTGTCTCATCATTTCATGTGTTGACTCGCTCAATGCCACAGCCCTATAAATTAGGTAGTACTATATTTCTGGTTCTACGGGTGAGGGAACAGAGGTGGAGGAGTCCCCTACGCATGCCTGATATCCCACACGCATAAGCAATGGAGACAAGATGGAGCCCGGTGTTCAAGTCCAGAATCCATGCTCCACTACTCTCCAGTTGGATGGAGGAAACGGGAAGCACCAACTGTTTATACACATCGATGAATAGTGCACTGTAAAGGGGGAGGTAGACAGGCTGAAACTGGACAGGAGGGACTGTGAATGTCACGCTGACTGATGACTTTGTGTTCACTCCAGCGAGTGAAGAGGTTCCTAGGGCTCAGTTTCAGTTAGTTGAAAGTTATTCGAGTCAATATGCCTTTTGTAGTTCATGCCATCTTGGAGAAGTGTTTTCTGTCGAAGGTCAGCCTGGTTCAGTACTCACCATGGTAGACTTCGATGGTGAGAGTTGTCATCCTAATGTAAGCCCCACACTGATTTAGTACACACAAGTCACAAAGGGGGTGTGTGTGAGAGAGAGGGAGAGAGAGAGATGTGAGAGTAACCAAGTTTTGAAACCCTGAGTATATACCAAAGTCATGCAACTATTTTGCCATATTTGTATGTTCAGTAACAGAAGAGCCACAGTTCAGATAGAGGTGTTTCACAGACTGTCTCTTTCTCTTTCTTTATTTAGGAGCAGATGGAAAAGTTGAAGCAAAAGGTATCAAAGGTGATCAAGGCTCAAGAGGGTCTCCTGGGAAACATGGACCAAAGGGATTGGTTGGTCCCATGGGAGAGCAAGGCCTTCAAGGAGAGACTGGCCCTCAGGGGCAGAAGGGGGATAAAGGTGATGTGGGCCCCATTGGCCTCAAAGGTCTAATGGGTGACACTGGACCTTTGGGCCCTACTGGTTTGCCTGGCCCTGTAGGCCCCATTGGAAAACCTGGTCCTAAGGGAGAAGCTGGACCCATGGGGCCCCAAGGTGAGCCCGGAGTCCGAGGAATAAGAGGCTGGAAAGGGGATCGAGGAGAAAAAGGGAAAATTGGTGAGACTCCAGTGTTGCCAAAAAGTGCTTTCACTGTGGGGCTTACTGTGCTGAGCAAGTTTCCTCCTTCAGACATGCCCATTAAATTCGATAGGATCCTATACAACGAATTCAACCATTACAACGTAGCCACAGGGAAATTCACTTGCCACATTGCTGGAGTCTATTACTTCACCTACCACATCACCGTTTTCTCCAGGAACATTCAGGTATCCTTGGTCAAAAATGGGGTGAAAATATTGCACACCAAAGACGGTTATATGAGCTCTGAGGACCAGGCATCCGGGGGCATCGTCTTGCAGCTGAAGCTTGGGGATGAGGTGTGGATGCAGGTGACTGGGGGAGAGAGGTTCAATGGCTTGTTTGCAGATGAGGATGATGACACAACTTTCACCGGCTTCCTTCTGTTCAGCAGCTGAGGGTGAGAAGAGGGTGCAAAGTAGCCTCACCACCCATCACAATGCACTTGGTGAGCAAGTTAGATAACACCTGTATATTCACTCATCCAACTATGACAATTAATCCAAAAATGTGAAAATAGGAAAGTTCATCCTAAAACTGATCCCATGCCACTTACTATCTTGCCAAGGTACATTTTAAAGTAGTTACATGATTATAATTTTATACTTTATAGAACCATTTCCTTTGCAGGTGGGCGTCTTGTGGGACGAGTGTTGTGATACTGTCATGGTGCTCTAAGGAGCCACGTTATGAGAGATTGTTCATCTGTATTCCTGAAGGCATTAGAAAGAAAGAAAAGTAACCTGTCTATTCCATTTGGAAACTAATAAAGGCTTTGAGCTGGTGACAATGACGCTCTGCTTATTTTCTAGCTTGGGTTTTAATCACCATTTAATCCAACAAGAAGTTGTTTGGTAACCCACTTGCCTGACTTGAATTTGTGTTTTCTAGAACTGCCATGACAAATGACCACAAATTGGGTGTTTTAAAACAACACACATTTACTCTCTCACAGTCTGGACGCTAAAAGTTCAAGATCGATGCTTTAGCAGGGCTGTGATGCTTCCTCCCAAGATTGTAAAGGAAAATCCTTGTTTTCTGCTTCCAGCTTCTGGAGGCCTGCGGCATTCCAGCTGCTGGAGGCCTGCGTCATTCCTTGGCTTTTGTAGCACCACTCCAGGCTCTGCCCCTAGCCTCATGTCTGTCTGCCTTCTGTTTCTGCCTCTATCCCAACTTTCCTCTTAGCAGGCCATCAGTCAGATTGGATTGGAGCCTGCCTTAATCCAGTAGAACCTGCCTCTGATTACATCTGCGATGACCCTATTTCCAAACAAAGTCAAGTTCATAGGACCCAAGGGTTAGGATGTCAGCATGTCTTTTAGGGAGACCCAGTTTAACCAGTCTGCATGCTGCCCCTTCAAAGCCGACATCCTTTTCAGGAGCCACCTCATCCTCAAAAGTCTTAACAATTTCATCATCAACTCTAAGTCCAAAATTTCATCTATCATCCTCAAGGGCCCAATTCTCAGTATTTAAGGCTTTTAATCAGTCACATGTGAGACCAATTTTGCGATTTTTCCTGGAATCAAGTATCTCTGCCTCTGTGAACCTGTGAAATCAGAGAAGTTATGTGCTTCCAAAATATTGGGTTATTGGAAAAGTTATAATGCATTTTTGCATAGAAAAACAGAAAAAATATGTCATGACTTTTTTGACAACCCAATATGATGGTGAGTCAAATGCAGAATAAACTGTTCTAAAAGGGAAGAAGGGAAAGGAACAAAAGAATCACAGTCCCCAAGCCAGTCCAAAACCCACCAGGAAAAATTTCATTAGAATTTTTTCATTATTTACCTTCTAAATTTGTTTTTTCTTTCTCTTTCTTTCTCTTTTTTTTTCTTTTTAGTTTTGCTATAGGGCATCTGCACTCATGTGCATGTACACACTTGAAAGAGCAAGAGAGAGTGAGAGAGACAGAAAAAAATGAGAGAAAGTGAGAAATCACCCACCTACTCCCCCAGGATGGCCATGCCTCAATCCTTTCTCCATTCTCCTCTTTGGATCTTGGGCATGCATGCACATGTGCCCAGTGTGTTTTGCAAGCTGCCAGGCCTGGAACTCGACTTGTGCAGTCGGCTATGTGAGATCCAGCTGTCTTAACTTCCGTACCTCCTGCTGGCCCACCTTTCACAAAAGCTGGATCTCACATGACCATCCACAGTTTGAGTGCTGGCCTGTGGTGGCTTGGAAAAATACCCTGGAAGTGTGTATTCATACCCAAAATCTCAGGAGGAAGAAAGGGAGAAAGTATTGAGGTGTGACCACACTCCAATGAAAGGTGCTTTCTCTCTCTCTCTCTGTCTCTCTTTGGTGAGTGCACACATCCTCTGGCAATTAAAGTTACTGGACAGAGACAACAGAGTTATAGTTTGAAGTGGAGAATAGAGACGAATTTACTAAAAGAGTAGGTTAGGGACCAGCAGTAGGTGTAATGGTTACGTTGCTGGACTCCCACATCGTCAACCATAGTTCAAGTCCTGGACCTGGGGACTTAAAACACCGGGTACATGTGTGTGTGTGTTCAAGAATTATTTAATTAAAAAAATTATTTATTTATTTATTTAAATTTGACCAGAGACAGACAAAGACAGAGAGAGAAAGTAAGAAAGCAAGCCACCAGGTCTGGTACTTGAACCGTGGTCAGCCACGTGGGAGTGTCCAGTGCCTTAACTACCATGCCATCTGCTGGTCTCCTGAAATGGATAATTTTATATGGTCCCAATTATCCACTAAAATTCTGCAAGTAATTATATATACTTAACTTGAAACATTTCTCTATGCTGAAAATTTAAACTGCACTTATTCATAAGATTTTTCTAAGCAAATAAAGACATATTGGCATTCTTTGAGTTTGAAAGAATCATCATTGGGACCAGCAGTTGGCGTAATGGCTATGTCACTAGACTCCCATGTAGTCGACCGTGGTTGGAGTTCCGGATCCGGTGGCTTAAACTCACGCTGGGCATGTGTGCATGCATCCCCAAGATCCCGAGAGGAGAATGGAAGAGAAGGGATTGCAGGGTGGCCATTCCCCTGGGGGAGGAATGATTTCTCGCTTTCTATCTGTCTCTCTTTCTCTTTCTGGTGAGCGCATGCACCCTATAGCAAAACCCTCTCCCCCAAAATGAAAAAAATTTTAAAAATTTACGGGATCTTATGTAAGGGCTGACTCCCCAAAATCAAAAAGAAAAATCCCATAAGGTTAATAAAACCCTTTTTGTATGCCTGTGCAATCCTGTAAGGTAAATATGATGTCTATGAGCATAGTGAAGTTTAGCAAGGCTTAGCATCCAATCCTAGACCAGCACCTAGAACCCTAATTTTCCAAGTCTCGTGTGGTTTTCACTCATTTAGAAGAGGGTAACTAAGCCTGTCCCACATGTTCACTTTTCTTTTCCACAGCAGCGGTATCCCACGCTCCACCATATAAGCCCCCAAAGCATACTCCCCTACCTTTTTAATTTCCTGCAAGCGATTTTTGCTATAGGTTGCCTGCAACCCACACTGCACTCCCTTCTCCTCCATTCTCTTCTCCAGATCTTGGGCGCGCGCGCGCGCACACACACACATACACACACACACACACACACACACACACGCACAAGAGCACGTAGTTGCCCCTGTGGGAGTTTAGCAATGTAACTACTGAGCCACCTGCTGGTCCCTGCACACTTTCCTAATGATCGCCCCCATCTTTTCTTTCCAGGTGATTGAAGTTTAGTGGACTCTTGTCTTTACTAATTTACATGGTAGATAATTAGATTAGTCAAAGAGTCACTGAGTCAATTCACTCAGTAGCACACAGTCATAACTTGGACGTGCGGCCCCTTCATACAGTTCATCAAAATCATTTTTTCCAAGTGATGACTTCAGTTGGAAAGACTTATTCGACTCGTGTCAGTTGTCCTGGATCCTTCTACAGGCTCTGCACTAAATCATAGTCCGGCACTAAGTAGTCACTCCCCGCTCCAGGAAATTGTATTGTAGTAAGATTTTGCCCTCCGGGCTCTAGTCATGAGAGAGGGAAGAGCAAATCCTCGCTGTTCCTTACCCCATACACACGGCGGCGCTATACCGCAGCCGGTGCCGAGAGCCATAGCGCCGCTCTTGCCTTCCGATCGACGACGTGCTCACGTCCAGAGGGCCTCGCGCCCCGACCCGGAAGCACGGAGTCACGTGGTGCGGCGTGGGTCGCTGCCTTGGAAACGGAGGGCGCGTGCTCCCCCTTCTGAGTTGCGGCGCAGGGGTCGGGACCTCGTGGCCCTGGCAGGGCTGCTCCGGGGACACGATGCTGTGCGCCCGAAGGCTGGGCGGCCTCAGGGCCGGCCTAGCGGCCCTGCGGCCCGGGCAGACCAGCCGGGGCATCGTCGCAGCGGGTATCCGGGCTCGGAGAGTCAGCACCAGCTGGTCCCCCGTGGGCGCCGCCTTCAATGTCAAGCCCCAGGGCCGCCGCCTGGACCTGTTCGGCGAGCGCGCGGTGAGCGGCTTGATAAGTGGCTCCAGGAGTGCCCCCAGCTAGGCCGGCCTCTGCTGCCCCGCGGCGAGCCGGCCCAGGCGTCTGGGTCTGCGAGGAGCAGCGAACCCTCCTGTACAGTGCGGGTGTCTTTTGCCCTCTTGGTGACCTTCCGGTTCACCTCTTCTTTGAGGCTGAAGGGGCCTGGGTAGGACCCCCTTTAGGGGTCCCTTCCCTATAGTGTAACAGTCAGCGAACTGCCTCTGCGTGGGCCCCTGGCGCCTCGAGATCGTGAATGTAGCTTTCCCAGCCTGGGCAGGTCGGGGTCCACCCTCCCTCCTCCCCACCCTCACTAGACAACTTTTGCTTCAGCCCCGTGCTTTGCGGCCATAGGCCTCGCTTTACGAATTCTCATTCTGCGTCAGGATGTCTTCAAGGACACCCTTGCCTTGCGTCGGGTTGTAGTATTGATGCCTGAAATTCTATCACCAGTTGATTGATCATTTCTAAGCTTGGGCATAACTGTTCTCTTTGACAGTAGGAAACCCTGTTGAAACTGGTGTGGTTTGCTGTATTTCCATAGTTAATCACGTTGATTTCTACCTGGGAAGTCACTAGATTGAATTGTTTGGTTCTAACTTATTTATATATGCACCTGACTAGCATTCAGTAAGCACTTGATAATTGTTGAATGAATGGATTAAAAGTGAAAAAAGGAAAGTTTGTAGAAGTTTACCTGATGCTTCTACTTGGCATGTGTAGATTTTTGTTTATTTTTGATTAAGAGTTAGATCTGTTTTTGCTTTTATAAAAAATTCTTCATTATACCATCTTTTTTATTAGGAGGAGTCTAGGAAAAGGTGGCAGCCAGCTTAATGGTGTGTTTATCTGCATCATTAGCTTTGTCTGTTTTAAAATTCTTGTGTGAAATTTGCAAACTTTCATTTGAATTTGCCAACATTATATAATCTTGGAATTAACAGCATTAATATAAGGGCTGGCCCTCCAAACTAGAGATTTAGTTGGTGTGAAGAAGAGTGCTACCTTTTAAATACTGAGCAGAGAGAAGGGTAGGGAAGGATAAGCTTGATTTTGAGCAGATGAAATCTACCTGATTTTAACTTTATTACTTTTTCTTTCATGCATCACGATTTTAGGTGCTGATAGTTTTTCAAGTTTGTGAATTGCTTTTTGCCTTGGAAAACTAATGGCTTCTTTTCTTTATTGTTTTTAAGAATTAAAGATTTATTTATTTATTTATTATTCTTTTTATAATTTGACCAGAGAGAGAGTGAAAGTGAGAAAGCAAGCCACCAGGTCTGGGACTCGAACTGTGTTGGCAACATGGAAGTCCAGGGCCTTAACCACTATGCTGCCTGCTGGCCTTTATATAAATATATATAAACATTTTTTAAGTACTACTTTGTCTGGTGGTCTAAAATTTAGAATTCCCAAGAATAATATTAGGAGATTGAGCTGGAAATGGAAATAGTCTATGCTTGAATCAAAATCAGTATGGAGATTAAATTTATTTTGGGTCCTGATTCTATGGTGCTCCCAATTGTGTTTCATGTATTTTCTTCAACTTCTGAGTGTATTTCAAAGAGAATTAAACAGCTTAACTTCATGCAAAAAATTAATAGCTTAGGAACCAGCAGTTGGCATAATGGCTATGTTGTTGGACTCCCATGTAGTCGACCATGGTTCCAGTCCTGGACCAGGTGGCTTAAACTCACGCTGGGCACATGTGCATGCATGCCCAAGATCCTGAGAGGGATGGCCACACCTCAGTCCTTTCTCCTCCATTCTCTTCTCAGGATCTTGGGCATGCACACACATGCACCTAGTGTGAGTTTAAGCCACCAGGTCCGGGACTCGAACTGTGGTCGACTACATGGGAGTCCAGCGACGTAGCCATTATGCTATCTGCTAGTCCCCCTATAGTGAATTTAAAAATGTATAAATAATTCTTTTTAAAAAAAGAATAATTGGTACTATGTATGCCTGACAGCATCCTAAGTACTTATGCTTTCTTACTTGGTACCAGCAACCATCTGTGAGATACGTATTGTCATCCCCACTGTACCTGATGAAGAAGATTGAGGCCCGGGAGAACTGAGAGGACTCCGCTAGGGCTACAAGTTAATAATGATTATAGATAGTGTCTATTAAATACTCTGTGTGCCAGGCACTAGTAGAATGTTTTTGTTTACATGTATTATCTCATTTAATCTCAGCTACTCTAGGAATTAGGTTCTGCTTTGGTAAATGACAGAGTTGGATTTTGAACCCATACTATTCTACTGTTTATTTTTTTTTAAGAATTATTTTATTTAGCTTTATTTATTTATTTTAATTTGACCAGAGAGAAGGACAGAGTGACAGAGGGAAAGTGAGAAAGCAAGCCGCCAGGTCCAGTCCAGGAACCCCAAAATCAACCTTGGGGACTTGCAGTGCCCTTACCCACCATGCCACCTGCCATACCTTACTTGCGTTGTTTAGAAAATAATTAAAAATTGGAGGGAAATTGCATTCTTTTTTTTTTTTTCTTTTGGAAAGGTTTTTACTACAGGAGGTGGGGTGTGCTCGCCAGAAAGAGAGAGACAGACAGACAGAAAGTGAGAAATCACCCCCACAGGGGATGTGACCATACTGCAATCCCTTCTCCATTCCCCTCTTGGGATCTTGGGCCTGCATGTGCACACGCCCGGCGTGTTTAAGCCACTGGGTCCGGGACTTGAACCGCGGTTGACTACATGGGAGTCCAGTGACATAGCCATTACGCCAACTGCTGGTCCCAAAATATTGCATTCGTAACACCTTTTTTTAAGAGTGATTTTTGCTGTAGGGCACATGCACTTACCAGAGAAACAAAGACAGACAGAAAGTGAGAAATTACCCCCCAGTGGGATGTCCACGCTGCATTCCCTTCTCCTCTAGTCTCCTCTTGGGACTTCGAGCATGCATGCACATGTGCCCAGTGTGAGTTTTAAGCTACTACGTCTGGGAGTTGAACCGTGGTCGACTGTGTGGGAGTCCAGCGATGTATCCACTATGCCATCTGCTGATCCCCACATTCTTAAAACATTTTTAGTCTAACTTAGGTGACATGATATGGGGAATGTGAACAAGGGATCTGTGATAACAAGTATAATTGTATGAAACACGAAAACAGAGAATTCTTTCATGAGTAAAGTATTTTAGTTAATACCAGAAAGTCATAATTTTGGTTATAAATTGGACATATATTCTTTGGATTTCAGGGTCTTTTTGGAGTTCCTGAGCTCAATGCCCCAGAAGGATTTCATATTGCACAAGAAAAAGCCTTGAGGAAAACAGAGTTGCTTGTGGAGCGTGCCTGTTCTACCCCGCCCGGGCCCCAGACCGTCCTCATCTTTGATGAACTCTCTGATTGCTTGTGCAGAGTGGCTGATTTGGTAAGATCTTGAAAGTACCTCTTTGTCCAAGCTGTTGATGTTTAAGCAAAGTTGCTCCTTGGTTATTCAAGATTCATATTAGACTATTTGAGAGCGGTTAGGTATAACCAGCTGTGATAAAATATGTCGTTAGGAGTGAGGAAAGTATATAGGAAAAGGTAATAGTTAAAACTTGTGCTTCTATATGTATATTTAATACACATGTAATATGTAGTAAATTATTACTTATTATAATCATAATGTACTGTATATTACCAATATAGCAGATTGTTCGTTTGATGAAGGTTCTTTATGTACTAATAGAACTTTTTGTTTGAGAGAGAGATTTTTGCTATAGGGTGTGTATGCTTGCCAAGGAAACAAAAGCCAAGAAATCTGGGGGGGATGGCCATACTGCAGTCCCTTCTTCATCCTCTTCTTGGGATTTTGGGCAAGCATATACATGTACCTCGTATAAGTTTCAAGCTGCCAGTTCCAGACTTTGAACTATGGTTGACCACATAGGAATCCAGCACCTTAACCACCATGCCACTTGCTGGCCCCCTAAGAGGTCATTGTACGTGTATATTTACAACAAAATTCCTCTTTTTCATATGAGGAATGAAAGCTATTTTTTATATACCTTTTTTGGAATACCCATTTTAATTAAAAACAAAGTTTTGACATTAAAGTAATTGTACTAAAGAAATTTAAATAAAAGTGTACTTAGATGTCTTATCCAACTAAGAAACCCATTGCTGAGACAGAAAATATGGTTTTCTTTTTTTTGGAGAGGTTTTCGCTATAGGGCACGTGCGCTCGCCAGACAGAGAGACACGTAGAGACAGAAATCGAGAAATCACCCCCCAGGGGGGATGGTCACGCCGCAATCCCCTCTCCTCCATTCTCTTCTCGGTATCTTGGGCACGCACACACATACGCCCGGCGTGAGTTTTAAGCCACCAGGTCCGGGACGCGAACCGCGGTTGACTACGTGGGAGTCCAGCGACATAGCCATTATGCTAACTGCTGGTTCCCAATATGGTTTTCTTTTTAAAGAGAGATTTTTGCTAAAGGGTTTGTTTGCTTGCCAGAAAGAGAGAGACAGAAAACGAGAAATTACTGCCCATGGGTTATGGCCATGCCGCAGTCCCTCCTCCTCCAGTCTCTGGGATCTTGGGCATACATACATGGACATGTCCCTGGTGTGAGTTTTAAGCTGTTGGATCCAGGTCTCACCATGGTTGTCTATGTGAGAGTCCAGTAATGAAACCATTATCTTCTGCTGATCCCAGAATATCTGGTTTTCTCTCAAAGATCAAAATCAAGACTACTTATATCAGTGAGGATGATTAATGGTGACATTATCCAAAATAGTGATCATTCATACATCTGTAACTTCATAACTTTTTTCTTCACATTCATTCAGTGAAGAGCACCTACTAGGTGCCAAATACTGTTCTCGGCACTGAGAATACAGCCATGAATAAAGAGCCATAATCTCTTACCTCATGGAGCTTATATTCTAGTGTTAACTTATTTTTTTAGAGATTTTTGCTATAGGGTGTGTGCTCGTAGGAGAGAGAGATGGAGAGGAAGTGAGAAATCATCCTCCTGGGGATATGGCCATGCTTCAATCCCTTCTCCATTACTCCTCGTGGGATTTTAGGCATGCATGCACACCCTCCCAGTGTGAATTTCAAGCTGCCTGGTCCAGGACTCGAACCGCAGTCAACCACGTGGTAGTCCTGCGCCTTAACCACTATGCCCTGGTGGTAACTTTTTTATAGATTTTTTCCTAGGCAGCTGACCCTAGTAAGATCTTCAGCTGGGTTAATTGATGTAACTTTCTCAGTACGTCTCCATTTGCGGATGAGAACAGAAATGCCTTGAGCTGAGTAGTAATGTGGGAACGGTCTTTTTTTTTTTTGAGAGGTTTTTGCTATAGGGCGCATGTACTTGACAGACAGAGAGAGACAGAGAGACAGAAAGCGAGAAATCACCCCCCAGGGAGGATGGCCATGCCGTAATCCCTTCTCCTCCATTCTCCTCCGGGGATCTTGGACACGCATGCACACGCGCCTGGTGTGAGTCTAAGCCACCGGGTCCGGGACGCGAACCGCGGTTGACTACATGGGAGTTCAGCGACATAGCCATTTGCTAATTGCTGGTCCCACGTGGGAGTGGTCTTTTTGCCAGTGTGTGGGAGACTGAGGCTCTTGGTCCTGGTAGGCCAGTTGCTGAGCTCATGCTCTAACCTGCTGTTCTCACTGTCCCGGGGCTAGCTCACCAATCGACTCATTGTGCACAAGATTTTATCATGCTCCTCAGAACAGTGTACAATTTAAAGCTTAATGACTTGTTTATTTTTGGAATTTGTCATTTGATATTTTGAACTACAATTGAGCTTGGGTACCTGAAACTATAGAAAGTGAAACTGCAAATGAGAGGGGACTACTCTATTAGCTTTGGCAGAGTTCCAGAATTCACTGTTCATCGTTATAGTCTCCATATTCATTAGGCAGCTTTCTAGATTTTTTTTTTTTTTTGGAGAGGTTTTCGCTATAGGGCACGTGCGCTCGCCAGACAGACAGAGAGAGACATAGAGACAGAAAGTGAGAAATCACCCCCCAGGGGGGATGGCCATGCTGCAGTCCCTTCTCCTCCATTCTCCTCTCGGGATCTTGGGCACGCACACGCGCCCAGCGTGAGTTTTAAGCCACCGGGTCTGGGACGCGAACCACGGTCGACTACATGGGAGTCCAGTGACATAGCCATTACGCTAACTGCTGGTTCCTATCTTTCTAGTATTTTTTAAATTGTGCCTTGTCTCTTTACTAAAATATTTTAACTTCTTGGCTCTATGTCTCCTCCTGTTTCTGAAGTCGTTTTAACCATATTTATGATGTATAATGGTATCTCACTTTAAAAACTAGTTTAGGGGCCAGCAGGCCGTGTGGTGGTTAAGGGTGTTGGACTTCCACATGACTGACTGCAATTCAAGTCCCAGACCTGGTGGCTTGTTTTCTCACTTTCCCTCTCTCTCTCTTTCTCTCTCTTTTTCTATGGTGAGCACATGTGCCCTGTAACCAATTTAAAATAAATAAATAAAATTGCTAAAAAATGAGTGTAAAAAAACTGTAATGGGATTTATATATGTAACTTTTGGAATAAAAAATGAAAAAAAACCTTCCTTTTTGAATTTTTACCATATCTGCCAGTAAGATGAATACCACTGTAAGGCAGTTTTATTAACTATTTATATTAAAACTCTTATATTAAGTATTTAATTACAGCTCTTTACAAATGATTTACCAGAGGGTTGTTTTATTTTTCTTTAGTGCAGTTGTTTTGTAATAGAGCTGTTTTCTTCCTCATGATTACAAATAAATTTTTAAAAATGTATGCTGCTGTTTTGAATTTTAATATTAATTGTAAATTTTGCAACATGTAGGTTATTAATTTATAAGATATAAATATTAACTAGCTCATTTTTTAGGTGTTTTAGAACTGAGTTATCCTGTTACCTGTTGTTAAATGTATCAAACTATGGATTCAAATGTTTTTTAATTAAACAGTATATGATAATAAAATCAGAATATTTTACCTTGTGGTGATTTTCTTTCTTTCTTTCTTTTTTTTTTTAAAGAGGTTTTTGCCTTAGGGTTTGTGTACTCCCAGGGGGGTGAGGGGGGAGAGTGGAAGAGAGTGAGACAGACAGACAGACAGACAGACACAGTAAGAGGTAAAGTGGGAAATTACCTCCAAGGGCAGATGGCCATTCCGCAATCCCTTCTTCATTCTCCGGGGATCTTGGGCACCCGTGCACACGTGCCCGGCGTGATGTTAAAGCCACTGGGTCTGGGACTCAAACTGAGGTCAGCCATGTGAGAATCCAGTGACATAAACATTATGCCATCTGCTGGTCCTTTGGTGATTTTATTCCATTATCAAAATAACCCAGCTTCTTGGAGAATCAGGAAAATACACTGTGTATTGTAGTTTCCCTGTATTTCTTTTTTCCCCAGCATTTTTTTCTTTTGCAGTTAGCATGAAAACTACAGTCTAGGGAACCAGCAGTTAGTGTAATGGCTATGTCGCTGGACTCCCACGTAGTCGACCGTGGTTCGTGTCCCGGACCTGGTGGCTTAAAACTCACGCCGGGCGCGTGTGCGTGCGTGCCCAAGATCCCGAGAGGAGAATGGAAGAGAAGGGATTGCGGCGTGACCATCCCCCCTGGGGGGTGATTTCTCGCTTTCTGTCTCTATGTCTCTCTCTGTCTGTCTGGCGAGCACACGCGCCCTACAGTGAAAATCTCTTCAAAAAAAAAAAAAAAAACTACAGTCTAGTTTTATATTATTTAATTTTTTAAGGTTTTTGACATAGGGTGTGTGCACTTGCTGGAGAGAGACAGGGAGAGACAGTGCGAGAGAAAGTGAGAAACCACTCCGCAGGTGGGTATGGCTATGCCACAATCCTTTGTTTTCCATTTGCCTCCTGAAATTTTGGGCACATACTGAATCATGTGTCTGGCGTGATTTTCAAGCCACCAAGTCTAGGATTTGAACTGCCATCAGACGTGGGAGTCCAGCACCTTAACTGCTATTTCTTCTGCTGGCGCCAGCCCAGATTTATTTTTTTATTTTAATTTTTAGAGAGATTTTTGTTAAAGTAAGTGTGTGTTCGTTGGAGACACAGAATGGAGAGAAAGCGAGAAATCACCCTTCAGGGCGGATGGCCATGCCACAATCCTTTCTTCTCCATTTTAGGCACACACACACACATCCCCAACACGAGTTTTAAGCTCCCGAGTCCAGGACTCAAACCACAGTCAGCCATGTGGTAGTCCAGCGCCTTAGCAACTATGTCACCTGCTGGCCCCATAATTTTATTTTATTTTTTAAAATAATCATTTTATTGAACTTTATTTATGTTAATTTGACCACGGGGAGAAAGAGAGAGGGAAAGTGAGAAAGGAAACCACCAGGTCTGAGATTCAAACCGTGGTTGGCCATGTGGGAATTTAGTGCCATAAAACATCACACCACCTATTGGTCCTAATTTTATTTTGCCATTAACCATCACACCACCTATTGGTCCTAATTTTATTTTTTAAAAGAAGAATTTTCACTCAGTTAATTATAACTATTAATGCAGCAGCAGCAGTAGTAATCATCCATCATATTAGGTGGGGACAAGGAATTCATATTTTACTAAAAGGGCGATTAGAAGAGTGTGCCTTTGTTTTCTTCACAAAGGCTAGAATCCAGTTACTTCGGTATTTAAATTGTGTCAATTTTTTTAAGTCATTTTTTAAAGAATTATTCAACTATTTATTTTAATTTGACCAGAGGGACAGCGTGCCTGCATTTGCACACGTGCCAGAGAGAGAAAGAGAGAAAAGCCACCAGCAGGTCTGGGACTAAAACTGCAGCTGGTCGTGTGGAAGTCCAATGCCCTTAACCACCACGCCACCTGCCGGCCCCCCATTTTTTTTTAATTGCCAGAGGACATGTGTGCTCACCAGAGAGAGAAAAAGAGAGCACCCTAATGGAGGGTGACACGCTGCAATCTCTCCATCTCTCCATCTTGTAAGACGGGATTTGGGGCATGTTTGCATATACGCCCAGTGTGTTTCAGGCTGCCAGGGCCTGGATTCAAACTGTGGTCACCAGGTGAGATATGGCTTTCTTAACCCCTAGGCTACAGGGCCAATCCTAAAACTTATTTTTAAGAATTGTTCTCTGGAACCAGGTTAAGGTGCGAGAACTATTATGTCATTGGGAAAGTCGTGACGTATTTGTCTATGTTTTTCTATGCAGCAGTGCATCATGACTTTCCTGACGACCCAGTATATTCCAAACAATTTTTGTTTAAAAATTTAGAATACTTGAAACAAGGGTCTGATCTTTTGACTACAGAATTAGTAAGAATTTGCTTGGTGTTTTTTTGAAGGAGAAGAAACTTTTGTAAAACAAAGTTAGTAAAATTATTTTTTTTGGAATGAAACAAAGTTATTTCCCAATAACAGAATTAATAAATGTTCAGAAAGAAGCCGCTTGCCTTAGTAGTTTAGGAAAAATTCAGTAATGGAAATGCCTAGGACAAGCCAAATGGCACACTTTAAAGTACAGGTTTTCATTTTCACCCTCCAATCCTGAAAGAAAACTTTTCATCAAATTCCCTTTTGGTTTTGTCTTTCCTTTTATTAGGCTGATTTTGTGAAAATTGCTCACCCTGAGCCAGCATTCAGAGAGGCCGCGGAAGAAGCTTGTAGAAGTATTGGCACCATGGTAGAAAAGTACGTGCTGTTCTCGTGTCCCAGGGGTGGGAGACAGGTTCATGGACTTGTGCTGTAGGCAGTTGGGTCTGTGGTGCTTGTCTCTGCCCAGCAGGGTGGGACGTGGTGTGTGTGACAACTGAGCAGCTGTCCATGGGCAAAGAGAGAGGGTGGGCTCCATGGAAGGTCACTGGTTTACCCTGCAATGTCACTGTGACTTGGGGTGCATTATTTACCTGTCTCTCAGGTCAATTCCTTGCTTGCAAACAAGATAACCAAGTGAACCCTGCCTCTTAGGCCTGTTGTGAGGATTAAATGAGATCAATGTTAAGTGCTGTAATGGTGTCAAGCACATAGAAATAATCCAGTAGCCTTATCAGCATCATCATTGTCTACATTAAGTAAGGGCTTTTTAATATCTTAGTGGCAAGTTGGAGTTACCAGATCTATCATGTTTGAAATGGCTGTTGCATTGATGGCTATGGGCCACAGGGCAAGAGTCCAAAACTATGTGTACACTTTGAGGGTACCTTGGAGTCCCTGTCGAACTGGGATTAGGGAGACTAAGGAGACTGTAACACCCTGGGAGGGCCAAAGCAAGCAGCAGGCTGAGGCTGTGATGAAGGGGATTATTTTATAGTGATTGAGTCCCTGCCGAGTTGGGATTAGGGAGACTAAGGAGACTAACACCCTGGGAGGGCCAAAGCAAGCAGCAGGCTGAGGCTGTGATGAAGGGGATTATTTTATAGTGATTTTGAGGTAAATTTAAATGTTTTTTTGGGCCATTTATGAGGGCTCCCAAGTGTTAAAATAACAGTGGACAGCAATACGTTACAGAGCACTTAGGTGTGACACCCTGCCAGACTGTGAGTGAAGCTGGGAGGCCCTGGGGCTTGCCTGGCAGGCACGAGGGGACTAACAGGGCCAGGCCACATTGTCAGCTGGGCTCTTACACCAGAAGCCATTGTTGGAGGAAGGTGGCAGCTTCTTGAGGTAAACAAGGCTTCCTGGGAGTCCAACTGGACACCTTCGGATGTGCAGCTGCTGCTTTCCTTCATTTTGCCACGACCAGTGTCACTTTTCTTAGCGCCATTGACAGTCGGTGAATGTGAAAATACTGGCCGTGTGAAGCCCAGACGTGGGCATGCTGAAGAGGCTGAAACTGAGGGCTCCTTAGGAGAAAGCCTTGCCTGCACTGGGAAGGCCCTGCTGGTCAGCGCCGGGCCGCCTGCTGCAGGTGCTCCAAGTGCTGCGTCCTGCCACAGTTAGATCTGGCCTGGTCTGGTGGACGAGTTGTCTCAGCTCTGTGAGAGAGCAGCAGAAAACCCTGACTGGCAGTGAAATGATTATCCGTGATCTTTAGTATGGACGTTTCAGTCTATGGGAAGTCAAGATCTGAAACATTCAGACCCTTTATTAGAGCTTTGCTTTTTCCCCCTTGGTACCGTGACTCATTTACTGCTTTAGTCTGAGTCATAACTTCTTCAGCTGATGTTTGAAAATCAAGATGATTTTAGGTGCACGTATAGAAGTGATTTGTTTTTCCGTTAACAGAAAACACAACCCTAAAATCAGGTTTAGAATTCATACCACATACAGACTGAATATACTTTAACCTCAGGATCTTCCAACATAAAACAGCGTGGAAGACTTGCCTCACCTTTTTTTTGTAATAGTGGTTTTTGCTATAGGGCATGTGTGCTCTCCAGGAAGACAGAGACAGAGAGATAGAAAGCGAGAAATCACCCCCCAGGGGGGATGGCCATGCTGCAATCTCTTCTCCTACATTCTCCTCTCGGGATCTTGGGCACGCACACACATATGTGCCCAGCATGAGTTTAAGCCACCAGGTCCGGGACTTGAACCGTGGTCGACTATATGGGAGTCCAGCGACATAGCCATTATGTCAACTGCTGGTCCCCTTGCCTCACCTTCTGAAGAGGGTACAATGCAGGCCACCACTGAACTGCTGCTCTTGTGACCTTGAGTGGCTTTGTGGGAGAGCATGGCAGGAGGAGGTGGGTACCCATGTTGGCTTCTTCCTTGACTTTTGGAGCTGCAATGAGAACGTGTGCCTGGCTCTTTTTCTCTCTTTTTTGATCTCAATTTTTCCAGTTTATTTATCTCGTCGATGAGCTGGAAAGACAGGCAATCTAACAGGGTACTGATGCCTCCACCTTTAGCTTTGGCCAGCTCCTAATCATGAGCATGTGAATGCCTGGCATTTTGGGAGGTCTCTGGGTGTGAGCCTGGAAATTTGCCCTGTGAGTTATCCTCAGAGTGTCAGGTTTCACAGCTATGCCTCCATCAAGCCCCTGTTGAGTATGTTTTGATCACTAGTGACTACCTCAGTTTCCTTGGCATTTGGGAAGGCCAATAAGAACAGGAAACCTTTTGGGTTTTGTGAAATCTCAGTTTTTTGTTTTGTTTTGTTTTTTAAATTGTAAACTGACTCGGGAACGGGACCACCTGAGTCCTTTAGTAGAACCTAGTGAATAGCTCTTTTTTTTGTGTGTGTGTGGAGAGATTTTTTGCTATAGGGTATGTGTGCTTGCTGGAGAGAGAGAGAGACTAAGAGAAAATGAGAAATCACCCCATGGGGGAATGGCCACACTACAATCCCTTCTCTATTCTCTCGGGATCTTGGGCATGCATGCATATGCACCCAGCATGAGTTTTAAGCCACTGGGTCCAGGACTTAAACTGAGGTCAACTACTTAGGAGTCCAGTGAAGTAACAGCTATGCTATCTACTGGTCCTGTGGATGGCTTTTATAACCTAGAACTTTCCTGTGGATCCAGCAGGCAGGGGCAGATGACATTTAGTCCTGCCTTTCTAGCCCTGAGAGTGCAAGGGTTTTCTGTTTTTGATTTTTTTTTTTTTTAAGAGATTTTTTGCCTCAGGGCCCATGCGCTAGCTGGAGAGAGAGAGAGACAGAGACGGTGAGAGGGAAAGTGAGAGATCATCCCCTGGGGGGATGTCAACACTGCAGTCCCTTCTTCTCCTCCCAGGATCTTGAGCACACATGCATATGCGCCCGGCGTGAGTTTTAAGCCCCCGGATCTAGGACTTGAACTGTGGTTGGCTATGTGGGTGGGTGTCCAATGACATAACGTCAATGCCACCTGCTAGCCCAAAGTACCAGGGTGTTTTGGCCTTTAGGGAAGAAGGACTGAGGACTTGACATTGGTACCATGGGTCAGGTTGAGACCAGTGCTCAGAGGTGGCACTTTGCTCCCCAACTCTGGCTGAGGGCAGGCTGGCACTTCTGCCTAAAAATGGCCACAGTCCATTTGATACGGGGAATGTGTGCTGCACACGTGATCTTATTTAGTCCTCATAACCACCTAAGGTCTGATAACCTGCTCAAGGTCCCTGAGCAGGAGGGCCAGTTCTGCATCCCACGTCTGTGGTGCTGAAGCCAGTGCCTGAGTTCTTCCTTACTGTGCGGGCCTGCCTCTCACCTCAATGAGCACAGGCCATCCAGGTTCTAGAGTGCTCAGTTCGGGACTGGAAACATCTCTGTGTTTATCCTCCCTCTCATCCTCATTTCTTGCTTTTTATTAAAAAAAAAAAAAGAAAAGAAAAGAAAAAGGAAAAGGCCATTGGCGTATTTTAAATGGGGGCTGTTGCTAATAGTTTTCTGTTAAGTTACCAGCTACCATGTTCCTCTGCCCTCCTCCCCTTTTCCTGTCTGTTCCTCTGCCTCCCTGCTAACTGTGAGCTTAAATTTATCCTTTTACCTTCCGGAACAGTTAGCATCTCAACATTTCTCCTGACAGACTGCCTGCCCTATTCTGAATAGTTTGGATTCTAAGTGTGGTTTTGCTATTCCTGGCCCAAATGAAGAAACAAAAACTATCCCAAGCTTTTGGCCTCCAGGCGTGTATACTACAGTTTGATACCATTCTTTGATGTAAAGTTAAAAAGATAATAGAAAAGCAATTGTTTTTTTTTCATTTGCAATTTTTTCTAGGTTGAACACAAATGTGGAATTATATCAAAGCCTGCAAAAATTGCTAGCTGACAAGAAACTTGTGGATTCCCTTGACCCAGAAACCAGGTACTTGCTCATTTGCATTTGTTTTGACTGTGACTCTAAAGGTGAGCTCCGAAGATTCCTCACACTTACACCCCACTCCCTTCCTCCCAGTTTGGAATGTCCCTCCTGGTATTTCCAGAACTCCTGCACTTTCTGTAGTGCTCCACTCCAGTGTGGTTTCTCCTCGGAGATCTTATAACAGATCGGACTTCCATCCTCTCCCCCTGCTTTATTTTCCTTCATAGCCCTAATCACTTCCAACACTCTCTTACCTGTTTATTTGTCCTCTCTTGTAACTCGACTATAATCTCCTTGAGGGCAGGAACATGCTCTGTCTTGTTTGCTTTTGTATCTTCAGCACCTGCATCATTTATGTCATTGTAATAGGTAGTCAGCTAGTGAATAAACTCCTCTGTGTAGCTGATAATTATAGTTAGCTTTTGGCTTAAGGTTTTATATCGTTAGAAAGATGTAAGCAAATTGGTTTTACTTACTGGGCAGATGTTAAGATCCTTGAAATGATCTGCTTCGGTTCATTGGGTTGTATTTATCTGAATTGAAAAGGACTAGTTTCTAAGACAGTCCATAAGGATATTTGATATAGGACCTTGGATATCTTATTTATTTGCCTAAACTTATTTATAAAACAAGTGTAGTAGGATTTGTCACTAACCTGTCTATAAAATTTGTGCTGCAACACAGAGATTAATTTTTTTCCCTCACCCATCAGTACCAGTTTATCTATTTTTTATTTGTGAAACATTTCTTCTTTTGACTACTTGATTCTCCTTCCTCCTAATTTCCTCTCCATTTCTGTTTCCATATGTGACTTGTGACCCCAAGTGAAGCCCTCTTCTATAGGGACCAGTCAGTAAAGGAATCTTGCTATTAATCTATTACATGATAATCATGCTACATGTGCTACATGTGAGGTATAACGAGGCTCTGTCTTTGAAGGGTTATTTTATCTGACTAGTAGGTATGCAGGTACCTGGCTTTGTTTCATTTCACTAATTCCAGTGGTCAGGATACTAGTAAATCTAACAGTGACGTCAGAATAGTTCGTTGCACTAGAATTTTAGGCTTGAGCATTATACTGCTTTCATTAGCTAAGAAGGTAAAAATTGAATGTTAATTGTGCCAGATTTATACTCAGTTGGTACTGATTTTAACAGCAATAAAAATATTAAAAATAAGATTTTCATAAGAGAGCTTTAGTGAAGGTTAACATTTTTGTGTTTGAATTATACAAGTTGTAGTGGGCTAGCAGACCATTTTAAATTTACAAAGGCTTTCTGCTGGACCAGCGGGTGGCATAGAGGTTAAGGTGCTGGATCCCATGTGATCAGTTGCACCATTTGAGTACCAGACCCAGCAGCTTGAAAATCATGCCAGGCTGTTACCAACAGATGGCATAGTGGTTATGTCACGGGACTCCCACATGGTTGACTGTGGTTTGAGTCCTGGACCTGGTGACTTCAGAATCACTCTGGGCGCATGTGCGTGTATGCCCCAAATCCCAAGAAGAGAAGGGAGGAGGAGGGGATTGTGGCATGGCCAGCCCCCCCCCCCCCCCACACACACACACAGGGGGTGATTTCTCACTTTCCGTCTCTCTCTGTCGCTCTGGTGAATGTATGCAGCCTATAGCAAAAATCTCTTAAAAAAACATCATGTCGGGCACATTTATTTGCATGCCCAGAATCCCAAGAAGAGAAGGATTGCAGTGTGTTCTTTCCCTCTTCAGGGGAGTGATTTCTCACTTTTTCTTTCTCTTTCTTTCTCTCTCCTCTCTCTGGTGAGCACACACATTCTATAGTAAAAACTAAAAAAATAAAAACAAAATAGGATACACACCACATTGAGGTTTGACAGTTGGCATGGTGGTTAAGGATACAAGTCACATTTCTAGATGTTTCTAAAAATGCTACTAGGATTTCTTTCTTTGAGAGAGATTTTTGGTATAGGACTTGTGCACTTGCTGGAGAGACAGAGAGGCAGAAAGCAAGAAATCACCCCCCTCCCCCGGGGAGGATGGCCACGCCACAGTCCCTTCTCCTTCATTCTCCTCTTGGGATCTTGGGCATGCATGCACATACTCCTGGTGTGAGTTTCAAGCCTCTAGGTCCAGGACTTAAACTGTGGTCAGCCGTGTGGGAGTCCAGTGATGTAGTCCATTATGTCATCTCCTGGTCCCAGTAATTTTAAAATAAGAAATTGAGAAATACACTGGAAGAATAAGCTAGGTCTACCTAGCTGGAGTCTAGAGAGGAAAAGCAGCTTGGAAGTAGGAGAAAGTAAAAATTTGAAGTAATTATTGAACTATTGGGCCAGGCAGTGACATGGTGGTTAAGGTGCTGCATCCCATATGGCCGACTGGGTAGTTCAAGTCCTAGACCTGGTGGCTGAAAAAACACACCAGGCTCTTGTGCATGTGTGTCCAAAATCCTGAAAGGAAAATGGAAGAGGGATTGCAGTGTGGCCATCTTCCCTGGGAGGTGATTTCCCACGTTCCCCCTCATGTCATGGCACTTGCACATAGTCAGGACTGTTAGTTTCCATCCATAAAGAACTATATTGTAGTTCCTTGCATGTGGTAGAGGGTAAGACTATGCCTAAAGCAAAGAATATAGATTTAATAAAGCATCGTGTCATAATAAGTTAATATATAGAAGAAATGATTTAAATTCAGTAGCTCATCATCTTATTCTTTTTTTTTTTGAGAGGTTTTTCACTATAGGGCGCATGTGCTCGCCAGACAGAGAGAGACAGAAAGCGAGAAATCACCCCCCAGGAGGGATGGCCACGCTGCAATCCCTTTTCCTCTGTTCTCCTCTCAGGATCTTGGGCATGCACGCACACGCGCCCAGCGTGAGTTTTAAGCCACCGGGTCCGGGACACGAACCGCGGTCGACTATGTGGGAGTCCAGCGACATAACTATTACACTAACTGCTGGTCCCCTCATCATCTTATTCTTAGATGCATGCCTTGGAATACCATTGAGTGACTGGAAAAATTATGATTTTTCTATTTTTTCTATGCAAAAAGTATGTCATGACTTTTCTGACAACCCAATAGTTCTGTGAGATATTCAAAAGGTTTCTCAGAAGGGTCCCATTAGTGACTAAGTTTGATAACCTGGTATATTAATGTATTTCCCCCTCTTGGAGAATTTTTGTACTTTAGTCTCTGAGAAGCCCAGTCATAAAGAAACTGACTTAACTTGAAATTTTCCAAAACTGTCAAGAATTTTTCCTGAATGCAAAGAATATAACAAGAACACTCTCTAGAAAATATAATGGATGGAAAATCCTTGTCACAAGAACAAGAAAAGCTAGGGAACCAGCTGTTAGCGTAATGGCTATGTCACTGGACTCCCACGTAGTCGACCGTGGTTCATGTCCCAGACCCGGTGGCTTAAAAACTCACGCTGGGCGCGTGTGTGTGTGTGCCCAAGATCCCGAGAGGAGAATGGAGGAGAAGAGATTGTGGCGTGACTATCCCCCCTGGGGGATGATTTCTCGCTTTCTGTCTCTATGTCTCTCTCTGTCTGTCTGGCGAGTGCATGCACCCTATAGCGAAAACCTCTCCCCCCCCCAAAAAAAAAAATACAAGAAAAGCTGTAGAACCTCTTGGAACAAATTCTAGGAGTGAAGAGTCTGGAACACAGCCCATGTACACACCACCTCACACATGCACACACCCGTAGGAGGCATGAAAGGCGACTGGGATGGAGAATTACACTGTATTCTTAGGTAAGAGAGAGGAAAGCTCAGCAGGAGTCTCTGTTGGTATGCAGATTTAGTACTCTCCAAGATATAGCTAAGGATTTTTTCAGTTGTTACTTAAAATGGTATGGAAGTCATAGAGAATAGATAGACCAGAATAGGCAGAAAAAAATCCTGTAAGAAAATCTGTTGAAAAGGGATTTATACCAGATAGTAAAACATGTTATATAAATAGTGTATTTAAGGGCCAGCAGGTAGCATGGAGGTGGGGCAGCTGGATCCCACACGGCCAGCTGTGCAGTATTAGTCCTGGACCTGGCGGCCAGATCACCCTGGGTATGTATGTGTGCTTGCCCAAAATCCCAAGAAGAGAGTGGAGGAGAAGGAATTATGGCATGGTTACCTCCCCAGGAGGTGATATATCACTTTGTCTGTCTGTGTCTGGAGAGTACACAAGCCCTATAACAAAGTACCAAAACAAAAACAAAAACAAAAAACAAACAAGTAAATACCAGTATTTTAAAGAACATATATGTGGGCTAGCAGGTGGTGTGGAGGTTAAGGCATTGGATCCCACCAGCTGACTCTGTGGTTCGAGACCAGGCAGCTTGAAAATCATGGTGGGTGCATGTACATACATGTCTAAAATCTTGAGAGGAAGTTGGTGGAGAAGGGATTGCTGCATGGCTAGCTACCCAGGGGGCTGATTTCTCACTTTCCTCTTTTCCTCTCTCTCTCTGGTGAGCAACCAAAAAAAAAAAAAAGCATATATATATACACACACACACATATATATACACACACATATACACACACACACACACACACACACATATATATATTATATATATTTAAAAGAACATATAGTATGGCAAATAATCAATTACACCTGTGAAAAATAAAGAAACTTCAGATCCAGACACAGACAGGTATATGTAAAACTACTTACTATGTGATAAAAATGTCATTTTATACGAGGAGGGGAGGGTTTGGTTTTCAGTAAATGATGCTGGGTCAATTGATCACTGTTTTTTATTTTTATTTTTTATTTTAATTTTTAAATACTTATTTATGTATTTATTTATTGATTGATTGATTGATTTGTTTTGATTTTCAAGCCGCCAGGTCCAGGACTTGAACAGCAATCATCCATGTGGGAATGCAGCACCTTAACCACCATGCCACCTGCTGGCCTCAGATTCACTGTTTTTTAGAAAAAAATAGTTAATTAAAGATTTAAATATTTCAAAAAAAGAAATGATAAGTTTGGATGATCTTGGGATATGGAAAGTTTTTCTTGGCATGATATCAAGTTCAGATCACAAAAAATGATTATTGAGTTATTTACTTATATAAAAACTTTAGTATGGCGAAATCCTTCCACATTTAAAGTCAAAACATACAACTGTGACAAATGTTACTTTATATACTTCCTTTATTAGGAGATATTATAATTACATAGAGAAAGAGAAAGCAAATTATTTTACGGAAAAATGGGCAAAGGATTTTTTTTTTTAATAGATTTTTGCTTTAAGGCACATGCACTCTCTGGAGAGAGACAGAGAGAGAGGAAAAATGAGAAATCACTCCCCTCCCCCAGGGGACATGGCCATCCACGGTCCCTTCTCTTCCATTTGTCTCTTCAGATTTTGGGCAGGCACTCACATGCACCCAGTGTGTTTTTCAAGCTGCAAGGTATGGGCCTTGAACTACAAGTTCAACCATGTGGGAATCCAGCTGCCTTAATCACCTTGTCACCAGCTAGCCTGGCAAAAGATTCTTTTTGTGAAAGAATGCTTTCCAAAATGAGGAATAACAACTGATAGCCAATAAAGTTATACCAGTATTTGGAATGTCATGGGTATATCCCTGGTGGTGAGGGTGAAGTGACTGGAGATACGGATCTACAGTTAGACTGCCTGGATAAGCCTTGTTTTCTCCTCTAAAAGGGGAATGAAAAGGTGTGTCATAGGATTACTATAAGGTTAAAATGAATTTATGTAAAGTGCTTTGCTCAGTAGCTGGCACATTCTCTGTAAATTAGGCATACTGTCACTAAAAAGGATAGAATAAAGCAAGGACCATTAATTGACAGTGTTGAAACAGAATGAGAAGGATGTTACTGATTTGGGGCGATGGGTCCTCCCTAGTTAAGTCCTTGTGGAGAACAATATGATAAATATCGGCATATAGCAATGTGTGTACTTTTTTAATTACTGCCTTAGAATTTATGCTAAGGAAAGAAACAATGATAGAGATATAACAAGGATTTGTATCATAGCATGGTTTACAGAGCTGGAAAAACAAAAACTTTTTCTTTTTTTTTTTTTTAGATTTTTGCCAAGGTGTGTGTACTTGCTAGTGAGAGAGACAGAGAAAAATTGAGAAATTACCCCTAGAGGGGAGGGTCATGCCACAGTCCTCTCTCTTTCATTCTCCTCTTATGATTTTGGGCACACATACCTGGCATGTTTTTCTTTTTTTAAGGAATTATTTTATTTAATGTTATTTATTTATTTATTTATTTTATATTGACCAGAGAGGGACAGAGTGAGAGAGAGGGAAAGTGAGAAGGCAAGCTGCCAGGTTTAGGACATGAACCACAGGCGGCCATGTGGGAGTCCAGTGCTCTTAACCACCATTCCCCCTGTTGGCCCTGCCCATTGTGTTTTTTAAGCCACTGAGTCTAGGACTCGATTTGTGCAGTTGTTTATGTGAATCCAGTGCCTTAACCACCACACCACTTTCTGGTCCTGAAAACATTTTTAGATCTTACGACAGGACACAATTCAAATGTTAATAAGAGTCATATTTTTAAAGAATATTTAATGATATGGAAAATGTTCAATGTTTTTGATACAATTTTATAGGAAAGCACGAAATTTGAAAGTTAAATGATTGGGTTCTAAGTATTCTAAATAAGTAATGTAACATCCTTAAAATATGGAAAGAAGGGACCAGCAGTTGACGTAATGGCCATGTTGCTGGACTCCCATGTATTCGACTCCCATTTTGCTCTCTGTATGAGAGAATAAGCTCTTACATGAAAAGTTAATCATTTTTTTTTTTTTGAGAGATTTTTGCTATAGGGCATGCGCGCTTGCCAGACAGAGCCAGAGAGACAGAAAGCGAGAAATCACCCCCCCCCCACCACCCGGGGGGGGCACCCCGCCC